GTAGGGGGGGGGGGGGGGTTACCTTGGTTGCTGATTGGCTAATGTTTACACAAGACAAAAACAGACAGGTTTTTATATAAATCAGGATCAGGACAAAAAGTGTGCGAATCTTTTTTCCTGAAACTCTCAGAATCTCTTTCCACAGAGGGGACACATGTTTATTTATAAAAGACATGAAAACATGGATTTTGCATAATAGGTAACCTTTAAAATGCTCTTTTTTAATGAACTATTATCTGTGATTTTCACTTGAAATAAAATGTTGTAATTCACCCTGTCACTTTAACCGCTTGTTTTTACCATCTCTTTTCAAAGTTAGCTTCTTAGTTAGTTCAAACGAATTAAAACAACAATAAAAAAAACATTGAAAAACATCCAGAAAGATGATAAAGGGAGTGTTTTTAATGGTTATAAAACAGCAACGTTCTACTTATCCCTCAGCAGAGGTTCACATTCCTGTAAATTACCGCTCTCTGCAAGCGTCGTCCGTGTCCAGCTATCGTGGTCTTTGGCCGATCACGTGCTTCTCATTCTCAACCTCCAACTGCGGACAGGAGGTTGAAGGTTAGGCATATCCAATGTGTTCGGCTGGCATACCTTGGCTTTGCTCTCTCTCCCCTACCCTTCTGCTGACCTTTAAACTTCTCGCCCTAAAGGTCATCCCTGAGTTCTGTGTTACTGCTGTCATGCGAGGGGACTTAAGACGCAGGCCTTCTATTAGCCCTTTAATGGATTACTGAGAGAAAGGGGAAGGAGAATAAGGAGCAGCGGCCATTTTCCACACTCTCTTCACTTGTCAATTTTTCTTTAAGTCTCCTTTTATGGTTCCTCTTTGGTTATGATACTTTAGTTCTTCATGAACAGCGCCTTTCACTGTGAACTGCATCTTTCAGATTGGATGAATACTAGACAGAAACGCCCTTAAGACTGCCCTTTTTTACTGTCTGGCACAAAGACTTGGAGGGAGAAGGCTAATGGAGCAGCTTTCTTTAAGTGGTCTTTTGAATGATCTACAAGCCCCTCAGTGCTTTGAAGATCAGCCGCACATACAAAGACACACATGGAGTGAGTGCTTCAGCTGCTGGATCAGGGCCAGTGCTGCAGGGCACAGCAGACAATGATATACATTGGTTCAATCACAGTATGGATCTGTGCCTTGAGGGGCGGCCATGGTTGATACGATTGTGTAACCATCTTTTCACCGCTCGCCAACAGCCAGCCATCAGGCTCCCATCAGGTCATCGTGTCATGGAACATCTTGTAGTTCATGGGTGAAATGAAGTTCATGAGCTGGGGCTGACAGGAGCAAATTCAATATGTTAGTTGTACATTCATGCTGGTTGTATGTATGTTTGCCGCTATAATCTTGTTCGTTGATTAGTTGTAGGTATTTAACTCCATTATGAAGTAAATGTTGATTGTATTTAAGATTGTCTCCCTATTCGCTCGCTTTCACTCTCCAATATGTGTGCCAACGCCAAATCACCCGACAAAGCCAGTTCAGCTAAATGCAGTGTTACTTGTACAGTTCTTCCAAATATTTTACAATTAAAGTTGCAAATGTGTGCCTTCACTCTGCATGTATTTGTTTATAAAGGTTAGTGGTTGTGTCAGCTAGGGAGAGACAGCAGGTCCAGGATCAGAGGGGGAGTCCCCATGCTGCTGCCAGAAAAGCCGTTGAATGTGAGAAGCATTAGGATTGGATTACAATATAATATGTCTGTAGATATTTGTTGCTTTTTCCCTGATGGTTTGAATAAGTTGCTAAATTTAGGCTCTGAGGGAACAGAAATGGATCTGGTCTTACTTGTCTGGTTTTTCCACTTTAAAATGCATAATCCTTATTTTCTGAACTTATAAATGGCTATCAAATCTCCAAGTTTGACTGATAGTTAAAAATAAAGTGTCTTGTTTTTCTTAACTGATAATATGAACATTTGTTTGACCAATTTTGTTTGCACTTCATTGTAAACAAACCCATTACCAACACATATTCAATATTAAAGGGGCCCTATTCTGCTTTTTGGAGTTTCCCCTTTCCTGTAGTGTGTATAGGTTTGTGTGCATGTAAATGGTCTTCAAAGGCTAACATCCCAAAGTTTCCTCAAGAAGGACTTTCTCTCCAACACACTCACACTAGAATGAGGCCAATTTAAGTGATGTTTAACTGATTTGTATTGAAATATATGTGATGATAGCCTCACCACTCATGTGCTTTGACAATCACATACTGGGCCAGGGGCTGAATTTCCCAGATGAATTTCATTATTTTACTCGGATACAAGCGGCCGAGATGGGTTTTCTCCGCAGGGTGGCTGGCGTCTCCCTTAGGGATAAGCTGAGAAGTTCAGTCATCCGGGAGGGACTCGGAGTTGAACCGCTCCTCCTTCGCGTCGAAAGGAGCCAGTTGAGGTGGTTCGGGCACCTAGTTAGGATGCCACCTGGGCGCCTCCCTAGGGAGGTGTTCCAGGCACGTCCAGCTGGGAGGAGACCAAGGGGTAGACCTAGGACCAGGTGGAGGGATTATATCTCTTCGCTGGCCTGGGAGCGCCTTGGGATCCCCCAGTCAGAGCTGGTTGATGTGGCCAGGGAAAAGAAAGTTTGGGGCTCTCTGCTGGAACTGCTACCTCCGCGACCCGACCACGGATAAGCGGGAGAAGATGGATGGATGGATGGAATTAATTATTTTATCAATGAATTGATTAATCATGCAGCCCATGAAGTGTATGGAAAAAGCTTTAAATAAAGTTGACATACACAAACTGCCTTTTTTTGTCAGATGACCAATCCAAGTCATTTAGTTAAATATCAGATAAAAGTTCTAAATGCTTGTCTTGCCCATTAAAAGCCCAAGTAAACCTTTCATGTATGAAGCAATGCGGTCTTCATAGCATGTGTTGTATAAAGAATGTATGATGCATCAATAATCCATATTCACTGCTTGGAGCACTTTTCTACATTAGTATGCTCTCGGTCTAAAACGACAACTGTTTGAATTCACAACAAGACTTATTTTTATATATGATTATTTTGTTGAAAGGTGCAATGAAGAGGAATATATGCTCTGTATTGACTCACATTGGCAAGTACACATAGTGCTCGATGCTAATTGAAGTATGACTTCCTGCCTTTGGGGCATCTATAGCAGAAGACGGTGATGGCGGTTTACAGAACGAGTCTTCTTAAGAAAAACTCAGAGACAGAAAAAGCCCTTGTGTGATATCCTCTGCTGTTAGGTCACAAGCCCATGTTCACTCTGCCATTAGAGCAGATTCAGAAGAGAGTGCACATTGTAAATAAGTGATAAGAATCGCCCGAGGTGACTGTAGGAAGGATGCCCTATATGCTACGCAGCATCGAATATATAGAACAGGAGGGCATGTGTAGGTCGCGCTTGTTGTTTCCGCCGGCTGTGCAGATGTTTGCAAGAAATAAAAATGTGAAGCATAAATATGTATCCGGCCTGGCGTTCATTAGCAGGAAAGAGTCAAAGAACGCAAAAGGATGATAAGAGCGGAAGAGAGATATGTAAAAGTCAAATAAATCTGGACTTGTTGCTCCGTCCCAAACACGTGTCACCCCTTATTTAGGAGATTTTCCTGAGAAATCACATATGAAATGATTTATGGGCATCAGAATCACTTTAATTAAGATTTAAATCGCTGTTTCCTCATTATAAGAAACTGATGATTAATGAAGACAAAGATTTGGATTGGTGAAAAAATCTGTCAGCTGTTTTTTCACATTTCTCCTAAATGTTCCCCCATTCTCATAAATTGGACGACTAGAGGTTAGTGCCCTCTGCTGTTTGTGTCTGAGAACTGCACTTTCTGCACATGTCTACTTCCATACACCTCTCCGTGTCCACAAACCTGTATGACAAGCCTCTGACAGAAGCCTCACCCACTAAGTCAGCATCATATCACTTTCACAATAAAGTGTGTGTGTGGGAAGAAGAAGAAATAACAAAAGTGAGCGGAAGACAGAATGAGAAAATAGAGGAAGGGGACGAGTGTCATGAGACAGCTCAACACTTTTCTCTCTTACTTCCTCTCTGCTTCCTCCTCGCCTCTGTTTGCTCAGTTCTGGCCACCTCAGCTCAAACACTTTGTCTCTCTTCCTGTCATCCCCAGATGAACTCTATGAACAGTGTCAGCAGCTCAGAGGACATCAAGCCTCCACCAGGCCTGCAGAACCTGGGAAACATCAACTACCAGTGCACGAGCCCCGGGGGAATGTCAAAGCACATCTGCGCCATTTGTGGGGACCGATCCTCAGGTAATGTTAGAGGGAGAGGGGGGGGGGGGAGACACTCAGAACAAACATCTCCACCCAGATAACTGAAGGACAGATGGCTTAGACCAATCGATGTCAGGCTTATTAGTGCAGAGTTGATTTGCCCTTTGATCGTTTTGATTGTAAAACTCTGAAAGGTGTTGCAACATTTCTGAAAGAAACTTGATTCATTTCCTAGTTTTAACTGTTGTTGTGTGAGTTTGATTTTATTTAGATTTTTATTTTACATCTTTGTAAAGCGTCTTTGAGCACCTAGAGATAAATACAATTTATTGTTTTTTATTAAAGAATACTTGACAAGCCTTTTTCTATCACATCAACAGGAATATTGTGTTTGATTTACAACAGTTGAGAAGCTAACTAATCCCCCAACACACACAAAAAAAAAAACACACACACACACACACACACACACACACACACACACACACACACACACACACACACACACACAACAATTGACTTCCTGTTCCCAAATAAGTGTAAAAAGTTGTCTTTTTTGATATTAGTGAAAGCATTTTAAATATCCGATTGGCCTTAAATTCAAACTTTGAAAACAAGACCACTGCTGCAACCACACATCTTAAACATGCCAGGCTATCAACACTACACACGTTTGAATTACTAATTTAAAGCCCCTTCTAATGGAAACAACTTACACATGTTGAAAGATTACACTTTGGGTTCAGACCTCAATAAAGCACTACTTAAGGTGGTAAATGATATTTCTATTGTTCAGGCGAAACATCACTTTTAGAGCTGCTTGTTCTTAGTTCAGCTTCTGGTTGTGAATGGCTGAGATTATCCAGCAGAGTCCTCAATCGGTCCGGATCAGATCTCAAAGGCAGGGGCTTTGTTGTTGCCATTGGTGATCATACAGCTGAGAGGATCACCATGACCTGTGGAGCCTCCGGGGGTTTGACTCTTAGGCCGCTATTCATTTATCCCAACCATGCTCCCCACATTTTACATTACAATTAACTTTATTATTACAGTTGCACTCTACCTGGTCTATTTTATTTGTATTTTATTGAATGTAATGTGTATTTATGTCATTACTTCAGGATCAGAAATGCATTTACAGTGTAACAGCTGAAAAAGGTACATTGTAGGTAAAAGTAAAAAGAGTGGACTTACATATTGAAAAAAAGGCAAGCAGACATTATTAAGTTATATTTATTTATATATAAATATTAGATGAAGATACACATTTTTTTTTACGAATTGTAAACAAATCCTTATAAATTGTAAAAAATAAGGTGAATATTGCACAGTTTAAAAGTCTGTATTGTTCTCCTTCCAGGGATCTCTTTAGTTATTTTAACTTCACTGGTTTTATTCTGTTTTTCATTGCTTTCCTTTTTAATGTGTTTGCTCTTTATTGCTCTGTTGTCAATGCATTTAAAAGGTTGTTTTTTTTTGTGGAGTGGAAGGGAAACATTTAAATCGTGATTACAACAATGTACCTAAACACAGATTAAGTTAAAATATATTAACACTAGTAGCTAGAGGCATATTTCCATGTGAAATCAGTACTGATGTTGTGGAATTTTACCACAGGAAAGCACTACGGCGTGTACAGCTGTGAGGGGTGCAAAGGCTTCTTCAAGAGGACGGTCCGTAAAGACCTCTCCTACACATGCAGAGACAGTAAGGAGTGCCTGATTGACAAGCGCCAGCGAAACCGCTGCCAATACTGTCGCTACCAGAAGTGCCTGGCCATGGGCATGAAGAGAGAAGGTGTGTGTGCAGGTGTGCTATGATTAAGGTTTCGGTCTGGGCATGAGCTCTAAGCTTGTGTTCATGATCTTCTTTTCAATCATTACAAATGCATGTGGAAGGGGGATAAGAAATGTTCAACTCTGCCAGAGCTCTAGTTTTCCTGTACAGTAAATAGTCTCTTTTATATGATCCACTGCAGAGTTAACATCGTGTAGTCAGGGACAATAAGCATGGGGTGTTTGATCTGAAATATATGTGTGTGTGTGTGTGTGTGCAGCGGTGCAGGAAGAGAGGCAGCGGGGGAGGGAGCGGGGGGAGAGCGAGGTGGAGTCCACCAGCAGCTTCAACGAGGAAATGCCTGTGGACAAGATCCTGGATGCTGAGGTGGCTGTGGAGCCCAAAACAGAGGCGTACAGCGAAGGCAGCCCCAGCAACTCGGTAAGAATCACAGCTTGGTTTGGTCAGAGCCCTGAATTATTTATCTGTTTTCATCACAAGGCTGAGGTGGTACCTAACAGGGACAAATCAATGTACGGGTTATTATGTTCGCCTGATCAGTAGTGCTCAAATATGTACACAGCTGAGTGAATACGCTCTTTTTCTATGGTGAAGCTGAATGAAGGAATATTATCAGTTTAAGTCTATTCACTCAGGAAAAATGCTGTTCTCTCGTGGCACTCCATCAATTAATCAAGCTACTCTTGTTGTTCTTTTGCAAGGCAGAGAGAATCATGAAAAGGTCAATACATTACCAGTAAAGTGGATGCAGAGTTAATCATTTATGGGTAGCTCTATACAATCTCATGGAATCCATCTAACCAACAGCTTAGCAGTAAAACCACACAAAACTCAAAATGATGAAACTTTAGTGTGTCAGAAAAGTGCTTCTCAAAGTGTGGTCCGCGGACCACTGTTGGTCCGTGAGCGCCCCATAGTGGTCTGTGAGTATATTGGTAAAATTTCACATTTTAAATAAATAAATACATTTCAGTTTTCCGCACTCTCGCGGGAATATCTCCGCAATGGAGCGAGCTTAAGTTTCACTTTCGATTGCATGATATAGCCCAGCGCAACACCTTCATCACACATGTTGCCACTTGTTTGTACCATTTTCAGGCGATTTATAATCTGTTCTAGAAAAACGATGTGTTTTTTGATATTTGTGGAGTTAGGTGGTCCGCGAGTGTTTTTTTATTGGTTAAGTGGTCCTTGGTATGAAAAAGTTTGAGAAACACTGATCTA